ACAGGCGCCTGCCACAGCGTTGGCTATTTTTTGGTTGCAGCCATCGTTGTTTGGTGGGCCCAGGCTGGATTTGAACCCTCCAGCTTGGGTGTATGTGGCTGGCACGTTAGCCACTTGAGTCACAGGCGCTGAGCTCACTTTTGATGATTATTAAAAACCTTTTTTTTGAGACAGAGTCTCAAGTTGTCACCCTGGGCAGAGTGCCATGGCATCACAGCTCACAGCAATCTCAAACTCAAGTTTGGGCTCAAGTGATTCTCTTGTCTCAGCTTCTCAATTAGCTGGCGACTACAGGCACCTGCCACAGTGCCCAGCTATTTTTAGAGACAGGATCTCGCTCTGGCTCAGGCTGGTCTCGAACCTATGAGCTCACGCAGTCCACCTGCCTCGTCCTCACAGAATGCTAGGATGATAGGTGTGAGCCACTGTGTCCAGCAAAAAAAAAATTTTTTTTTTTTAAATGTAGCCCAGTTTGAGAACTGATGTTTTAAGTTATATTGCTTCTTTCCCTAAACTGTGTTCTTTGGAGATACTACCTGTATGCTACAGTAAAAGTAGGCTCTGGCTTGGTGCCCATAGCACAGTGGTTATGGCGCTGGCCACAATAACACCACAGGGTTCGAAATCAGCCTGGGGCAGCTAAACAACAATGGTAACTGCAATAAAAAGATAGCTGGGCACTGTGGCTGTAGTGCCAGCTACTTGGGAAGCTGAGGCAAGAGAATTCCTTAAGCCCAAGAGTTTGAGGTTGCTGTGAGCTGTGACAACACAGCACTCTACCCAGGGCAATAGCTTGAGACTGTGTCTCATTTTAAGCCAGGGTTTTCCAAATTTGTTTAAGCATCAAAAACTGCTAATGCTGACATACTGTGGAACTATATGAAGAATACCAGTTTGGAAAACACTACTCCTCTATTGGCTAAAATCCTGTCTAGATTTTCAGTGGGTTTAATTGGCATGACATGTATTCTCCTTTCTCATTGCATAAAGAGACTTTATCCTTTTGTAGGTTTTTAAAAATAGCATTTACATTACAAAAGTTACTTGCTCATTGTTCAAGATTAATGAGAGCCTTCGTAAGCTTTGATTTTTAGATTGTTAGCTCTGTCACTTTCCAGATAGGCAAGTTAATTTATATAAAGTTTAATTTTCTCATCTGTATAAAGGGCATTATTTTAGAATCTAGGGCAGATAGGTACTAGATGAGATAATCCATTTCACCTGTAATCCCACTAAGCAATTTTTCTTTTATTTTCTCCTTTCATTCTATATTTTCTCTCTCTGAATATAGGTAAAGCACACAGTAGACACTTGATATCCTTGAGGCTTATATCATTAAGATCTCTGTGAATCTCCAAATACTTGAATGGCATTGGAATATATCTTTTTTTCCTATGTAAGAAAAATTTTAGGTAATTTTTGAGACTTTGCATGCTATGAATAGAGAATAACAAAACCATGTGAAGAGCAATAGTTGAGCAGTTATCCAGGGCCACTCAGTAGCCATATCACTTGCTTCTGTCTGGACCCCTTTACCTATGTTCAGTTCACATCTCTCTCTCTCAGAATAATGGCACAGACTTTGAGGATTGCCTATAAGTAGTGCAAGTAGCATATTAAATTGGTGAATGGCAAGAGTCACTATAGTCATGTAATTTTTCATGTATTAGGATTCACATTTTATGATAGTTTTATATTCTACTTTTCTTAGTTTGTATCATGGATATTTTCCTGTGTGTTCATATTTAAAGGTACTGCAACAGCCACTTGCAGGTACTTGGCTTTATCCCGAAAAAAGAGAGGAAGAAAAAGAATGATCCTATAGATGAGGTGAAGGTCAGGCACCAGGTGGATACCATGGCTTTTAGCCTGGCGGTGCCCACGGTGGCCTTGAAGATGCCTAATGGACTGGACGGGATGTCCCTCTCTCCACCTGGGGCAAGGGTCCCGCTCCACTACCTGGAGACTGAATTGGAAGACCCTTTTGCTTTCAACGAGGAAGACGATGACCTAAAGAAAGGGGCAACTGTGAAAAAGAAGTTGCAGAGCAAATTGGCCCAGAATCGCCAGCGCCAGAGAGAGACAGAGATTTTAAAAGTTCGCCAAGAGCACTTTAGTCCCCCTCCTGCACCTTCACAGCCGCAGACTCCGCAGCAGCACTCCCACCTGTCACCTTTATCCACTTCTTTAAAACCTCCAGCGCCACCGCAGGGTTCGGTCTGCAAGTCACCTCAACCTCAGAACACCAGCCTACCAATGCAGGGAGTGGCACCCACCACACACACTATAGCACAAGCAAGGCAGTTGTCTCAGAAGAGGCCTCTGCCCCACCTGCCATCCAGTAGGGCTCCTGTTTCGGACCCACCCAGGACTGACCGGGTCCTTATGAAAGCCACAGCCTTCTCTCCACACTTCTCTTGTATAAGTCGACTGCAGAGACTGGTGAAACTGTGTACCCAAAAACATCAGCTGGACACTGATCTGTTTCCCCACTTGGGTGAGTTTTCATCTATTTTATCATATCATTGGTGTATAATAATGCAAATTGTGTTCTGTTGTGTGCAGCTTCATTTTCCTAACTATCATTTTGTAGGACAGAGCAGTGCAATGGAAGATTTTGTATTTAGGTAGATCGCTTTAAAAATAAGTGTAGTCCTATGGTATCTGTGGTAGGCTGATTCTAGGACTTCCTGCAGGTACCAAAATTGGGAGATGTTCAAGCTACTCATAGAAAATGGTGTAGTATTTGCGTGTAACCTATATATAGTCTCATGTGTACTTCCAAAGCATCTTTAGATTGCCTATAGTACTTAATACAATGTAAATGCTCTGCAAATAATTGTGATACTGTTTGGTATATGTCTAGTACAGATGCAGGTTTTTTTTCCTTGAATATTTTTGATCTTGGGTTGGTTGAATCCATGGACACAGAGGCTATGGATACAGAGAGCCAATTGTATGCTATCTAATTCTTGCAGAATAAGATACAGAAATAGGAGTTGGAAATTTAGAATTCCAATCATAGATTTTATTTGTAGTAATAGCAATATTTAAATGGCAGTTGTGTTTTTGTATGCCTTTCTGAACTCCGTACCTGTGCATCTAATCAAGTTCTTGACTTTTATTTTTAATTTTTAAAAAATTTACTAGTAGAATTTTCGTAGAAAATGAAAACATTTTTGTGACCTAGGGCCTGGTACAGATTTTTAAATTCAATTTTGAAAGTGCAAACCAATAAGGAAAACATCTATGAATGTTATTACATAAAATGTAAAGATTTTACGTTTACATTTAAAAAGTATCACTAAGGACAAAGTTAATAGGCTGCTAACAGAATAAGAGAAGATATTTGCAAAGTCAAAATCTGACAAGAGATTAACATTGAGAATCTCAAAGGATATCTGCACAGCAACACAAAAAACGGTAATGACCACATACAGAAATGGGTGGGTGTTCTGAACAGCCAGTTAAAAAATAGGAAAGCAGAAACAGCATGCTCAGAAAGAAATGCTTAAGGTCATCAGTACCCGGACATGTAATGTTCTGAAAAATAAGATAGCACTTTGCACCCATTAAGCTGGCCAGAATTAGAAACCTGCATGATATCAAGTGTTGGCAGGGCAAAAATGCAGAGATATAGTAACCTCACACATGTAGCTGTCGTAGAGAGTAAACTGTTGTTCCTTAGGCCAATAAAGCGTATGTTTTGACCCAGCATTTCACTTCTGTATATAGAAAGGCCTCACTCAATTTATGAAAGGCCATGTATGAAAATATTCATCAAAGTAGCTATGGTGTCAATTGTGAGGAAAGCAGATAGGTAAAATGCAGTGGAGGCAGGGCACTGAAAATTCTATGGCAGGTGGACACAGTGAGTTAGAAACAGCACTGTAGTAGTTTGCTAGCACCACCACTGCAGATACCACATACTGGGTGGCATGAAACAAAGAAATTTATTTTCTTACAGTTCTGGAGGCTAGAAGTCCAAAAACAAGGTACTGACAGGGCGATTTTCTAAAACCACTATGATAACGTTTTATTGTAGAAGTAACCATAGCATTACTAATACCTGCTGACAGTGTAAATTTTGAAAGTCCCAAGGAATACAGAGAGCCAGTTGTATGCTATCTAATTTTGAAAGTTAGTGATTAAAAAGTGGCTGGGAAAGGCTGGTCACGCCTGTAATCTTGGCACTCTGGGAGGTGGAGGCATGTGAATTGCCTGAGTTTAGGTGTTCCAGACCAGCCTGAGAGGCTGCATCTCTACTAAAAATAGAAAAACTAGCTAGGCATTGTAGTGGGTACCCTTAGTCCCAGCTACTCCGGAGGTTGAGGGAACGGGATCCCTTAAGTCCAGGAATTTGAGGTTGCTGTGAGCTGTGATGGCAACAGCACTCCACCCAGGGCAACAGAGTGAGACTCTGTCTAAGAAAAAAAAAAGTGAGAAAATAGAAACAAAAAGTTCACTTTAATATAGTTAAATGCCTATTTTTTCTTTGTTACTTCTAAATTTTCTGTTTTGCTTGAGAAAATCTTCCCAATCTCAAGTGTGTGTGTGTGTGTGTGTATATATATATATATTCTATATTTCCTGTTAATAGTTTGTTTTGATATGATCATTTAAACCTTGAATTCAGTTGGTTAGAATTCATCCTTGAATGTAGTATGAGCTGTGATTCTTCAGGAAAAGTTATTTGTGTGACATGACCCCAATAGAATGAGCAAAGATATGAATAGAAAATGGGGCTCGGCACCTGTGGCTCAACCGGCTAAGGTGCCAGCCACATACACCTAAGGTGGCGGGTTCGAATCCAGCCCAGACCTGCCAAACAACAATGACGGCTGCAACCAAAAAATAGCC